TCAGTGAGTATCGCCATCCTAAGCACCATACAGCTACTTGTCAAAGAGACAAGTGAAGCCGATCCTTTGATCAAACGTATGCTAAACAATTATGCTATCTCCCCTTCCGTAATCATCAGATGGTTCTCCACTGATAATATGGGCAACGAAATCAATTAGAAATCGTAGCTAACACCCGTAAACCATTTCTGCTGGACTGCAATCGGTTTCCGCTCTGACCGTGGTCCGCAAGCTCGACATGACTAAAGGCTCATGTCGCTCAAAGGAGCACACCACACTATGTCTAAATAAAAACGGTAAAAATTGCAATAGTGCAGGCATAATAGGATGCTACCGGAAACGTGGACAACCCATGGCGGAAGGGGAGATATCATAATTGTTTAGCGTACGTTTGGTCAAAGGATCGGCTTCCCTTGTCTCTTTGACGAGTAGCTGTGTGGTGCTTAGAATGGCGATACTCACTGACGATGCCGGCGAAACGTTTGGGAATGTTCCACGTCCACGGTTCAACTTTGGAATCCCATTTTGTTGACATTTTATGTTATCTGTGCAAGCTAGTGAATAGGGTTGTCCTTTGCTTCAGGATTGCACGAATCTTCCATTTCATTAGTAGCTGCCGCGGCTTCCGAGCCAATTCGTGGAGGGTGGACATATCACTCCTTTTTTCTCTGTCTCTCGCCTTTTCTTTTCTAACCTCCATCCTGCTATTTGCACATCATGATCCGTCTGTTGCATTTCATTTCTTCTTCTGGTTATCCGTTTTCAAGTTTTATCTGCTACTAAACAGTTATACAACGACGTGTAGGCACATGTCAGACATCAAAACGTTTCGCGTCAGGATCTTCGGAATGAGGCATTCACTCCTCTTTTATCGGAGTAGGCCTCGGACAACGTGTATCATCGTGTGTCCTTTTGCGTCTCCACGACTTCAGGGTTCGTCGATGCACATGCGCCTAGTGTCACAGAATCGGGTCCACTTGTCAATGAAACAGGTGCAGTGTCCCAGTTACGGACACTTTACCATAGCGATGCAGTTAGAATAGCGTCTGTGTGTCGATGTGGCGTCAACTTGCAGTAGTCCTTCACCATCGTTAGTCGGTGCGTGCCTAACCGAGCTCAATACCTAAGCTCAATAAAATCCATAGACACGGTTGTCCGACTACCGATCAACAACTGTCTCAACCCTACTCGAGCTTCTTCTCAGACTTACTGGCGCCTTGATCCGCACTAGGCACGGGCTATTTTGTGGTGATGAAGAGACTCGCAGATGGAGTCCCGTTTTGCACCGCGTTTTCTCGCCAAAAGCGTGTGTATAGTTGACCGGTACCGATTCATTGAAACCTCCCTCTCTTGCTTGCCAACCTGTGCTCCACTCGCCTCGTCCCAACAGGATGCCATTTCCGCTCCATTCGGTACCGGCTGCGGTGCCGCCGAGCTCTGGTCGTCCGACCCTCTTCATCGGACCTACCCCGCCGAGGCAACATCTCCCGAGGCTGCGCCCGATTGGTCCTTGCCAGTCCTCGGCGCCTGGTCCGACTCCGCGCCGGGACTCGCCTACCCGCAGGCCCACGCCTCCACCGACCCACGCGGTCCAACCCAGGCCGGCCCTGGTCCAGTCGGCTGGGCCCCTCTGCCGAGCCGCCCTCTTCTGCCCCCCTACAGCATTCTGAGCCTGAGCCCGAGTCCCGGTTCCGCCTCCATAGACAGCCTGCTCGCCGGTCCACATGGACAGGCCGGAGGCGCCGCCACGCCGAAATCCTCTCACTCCACCGTCACCGGCTACCCCACCTTCTACTCGAGCCTCGAGTCCGGTCTCTCGACTTCCCGGCCGTCTCTGGCCCACGACCTTCTGCCCAGCCTCTACTCCCACTCTGTCTCGCCCCCCTCTTCTGCGGCACCGTCTTTCCCGCCTCTTCTTCCTGCCCCGGTGCCGCCCTCCTCTTCTCCCTCCGCCCCGCCGCACCATCTGCTTCAAGCGACCCCCTCTTCTTCCCTCCATTCGGCCAACGCCGAGCCAGACACCTTCCACGACCTCGCACCGGCCGATCGGCATTCGACGATGCCCGACCCGCCCGGCTTTGTGAGGCCGACCAGAGAGGAGGCGGCCGCCGTCCAGACCAGACAAAAGTAGTAAGTCTGCCGTCTCCAAGTGCCGATTATTGTTCGTTTATAAGCCGTCCTTTGAGGTGCATTCATCCCATCTCGTTTAGTTGCATCTTCACCACAATGGCATGAGTAGACATGACGTTTCCAACGGACTTTGCATAACCTTGCATCCAAAAAGGTGGATGGAGGTTCATCAGCACTGCCGACAGGACTCGAACCGTGGCGGTGCAGCGTGTGATCTCGACGTGTTCACCGTCACGACTACTCTTGGCTGACAGGGCAGGTGCGAATTTCTAGGAAGGCGAAGCATTTTGCCATATCGCATTCTGTGACGCGATTGTAGATGAAGCAAAGTTGTATGTGCTGTAAAAATCAGCTTTTGTGAAAGCAAGGCTATGTGAAATTTGTATTAAAACGTCCTGTTTACTCATTAGCATTGTGAAAAATTCAACTTCCAGTTTTGTTGAGCCGTC